TATACTCTGATATTCCCTCCCAGCCTCATACTCACCGTCCCACAGCGACACCCCATAAGCACCACCACACTCACTTTACAATATGCATCTATGTAGCTTATGTGATATCAACATGTCAATTTATTATAAGCAACAGAAGACTTTAACAGCCAATGACATTTACAGCTGGGGAGACATTTACAGCTGATTTCTTACTGCTTAGTGTTAATAATTTAACTCAGCTAGTTACATTTATCTTAAGAATATGGTCCCTGGAGAATAGGTTTTATCAGCTGGTAATTTTCAATGCACATTTAAGAGTGCCTGTTTTTAAATTCCCTAGCCTGACTTTCAGTCCACAAGGTTGATCAGGAGTTCTAATGTCTCTCATCATCTGAAACAAGGAGATATAAACATTGTATTCGGTTTAACTGCTGTAGACACACACATACACAGTATGTGTGTTATCTCTCCCCTTATCTCGCATTCACTGATCCACTACACTAACGTTACTTAAGTTATTAGCTAGATATGTTGGCTTGAGAAAGCCAACATACTGTTATACTATTTAAACTTATTATTCTTCTGAGACCAATAATTTTCAACTGTAGCCTACTGTATATCCTCCTAGGGCTTTAATGCTACAGGCACCAAACTCGTCAGAGACATTGGAGCTGATCTGTAGTTTGTTTCTATATCTTTTCTAACTGATGAGACTTAAAGTTTTTTTTATAAATAATTATCAAAAGTCAAAGATTTCCCATATACTTGCATTGGCTGAGCAAAAATGCCCTCTCTAGAGGACAACTGCAGTCCACTAGAGGGAGCCACAGGATAAGAAATCTTTCAAATCCCCTCATTTACTTTCGTTTTCAGACAGTTACATTTACAAAGAATTGCATACTTTTCCTTTATGCCGCCAAGCAAAGCTAACATATTTGATCATGACCTGTCAGGTAGTGACTATCTGATGTCCAGAGGCCAGTGTGAAAGATGCTGGTGCGTCCTCACGAAGCGTAATAATTTGCACGTTTTTTTAAGCCTCGCCAATTAAAACATTCAAGCGATTCGTGTCATCTGTTGCAGCTGAAGCAGCAGCAGCTTCAGGGGCAGGCTTACGAAAACACCGAAAGAGTGTAGTTTGAGTTTGCTTTCGTTTCATATCTCCTTTAGTGATTCACATTCAATGCTGCGCAAGAGTTGCGCAATAGCACTGGTCATCAACAGAAACACGGCGTGATTTTCAAAAAGTAGGTGCTTCTCAACATGGACGGGGTGAATTTATGAATGAACGTGTGAAAGTTCTGTTACAAAACGATGTTGTTCCATTACTTATCCTCGCGCATTTTTAAGTGGGTATACGGAAATCCTTCACCTTTCCTAGTGGGTATACGGCGTATACCTGCGTATCACTTAGACTACACCACTGCTCTCAGGTTATATTAATAAAGCAATAAGCCCCAAGAAGCTGTGGTTTACAGTTTACAGACACGAAGCGGATTGCCTAAAACCCCCTTAGCTGTTATAAATTCACTGTAAACCACGGCTTCACGGGGCTTATTGCTTTTATAAAACGGTTATTCCATATACGTAGTAAGGTTCCACTAAATAAAACAGAGCAAATAAAGTGTAATGATATCAATAAAAACTGTATTCTTCCACCAAACAATGTAGTTCCTCAGAATCAGGTGTGGTTGCAACTAAGTGGTTGCCAAGCAACAGACAAACGTAAACAAAGGTGTATGTTTGTAGAGTAATTTACAACAGCTTCGAACGTGGCTCAGCCAATCAGAATCAAGGACTGGAACTATCCGTTTTATAACAATATTTTTTTAATACTTTAAGTGTTTCTTATAATATAATAATAATTTATGCATTTAGCAGTGCATATTATGCAATATTTTTTTTACCAGTGTTCCCTGGGAATCGAACCCACAATCTTTTGCACTGCTAACGCAATGCTCTACCACTGAGCCACATTTCATTTATGGGTGAACCAACCCTTTTCAGTTTAAACAAGTCTTAAAGTATATTTGTAAGTCGCTTTGGATAAAAGCGTCTGCTAAATGACTAAAAGTAAAGTAAAAGTATGAAGTACGTGTGAAGTTTTCCATTTACTCACATTAGTAGGAATAACTTCTGCCTTCCCAGCATTCCTCACATAGCAGCGCCGCTCATGCTCTCTGGAGCTCCACGGATCCTGCAAACACTAATGACACATTATGAGCTCAAAGCCTGTCGTTTGTGATAAACAAACCAGCCCTGCTATTTCCAACCTGCTGTATGTTTAATGTGCGTAAACATGAAGGTGAAATTGCTCTTGAGATTGTTGCGTCTGTTGCGGTTTTATGGATTGACTGAAAGGTTTGTTTGTGCTTTCACAGCTAAAACACATGTTCACTTACAGCATATCCCAATTCTCCTACTATTCAAGTATGCACTAAAATGCGTGCTTAACAAAGTGACTTTGATAACGGAGCCATCTTATTAGAGTCTAGCTAATTCCTTCATTATTTCTTCATAAAATCATTTCTTCATAAATTCCTTTGTATGGACAAGAATGGCCATTTGTGTTCACAATAGAAAATTAGTATTGTGAGATCAGAATGAATGAAGTTGAATACAAGATGACAATTGTAATTTATGAGTAAACAATCCCTTTAACTCACAAACTTCATAGTGCAATGGCTTGATGCATATTTCAAAACTCCCAGCAGAAATCCTACACGATTTGGGCACATTTGCACACTATTTTCAACATGCTGTGCTTTGGGGCTCATTCTAATCTCACTTATATTTAAAATAGGTGCTATTGGAATTGGGACACGGGGGCGATCTCTCCCTCTTTTTTTGCTGTATATAAGTTAGGAATGAGAGTGTGTGTGTCTGTATTCTCGGTGTGGAGTCTAGCACACCGGGCTGAATGAGGCCAGACATCTGATAATGAAAATCACTCATTCAGAAACCTGTTATTCATTCCTCTGTCTCTCTGTGTGTGTGTGTGTGTGTGTGTATATGTGTGTTTGTGTGTGTTTGTGTGTTTGTGTTTGTGTGTGTGTGTGTGAGAGAGAGAGAGAGGGAGGGAGTAAAATCGAACAGAGTTTTGTACAGATACAGAGAAAAAAACTTAATGTACTTGAATTTTAGTCAAACTTAGACAAATGTGTGTGTGTAAGAGTTATCATATCACATTTCATATGTACACACAGTTCATTGTTAATAATTGTCTGATTTGTGTAATGTGAAGTGTCTCAGTAGATATTACAGCATTAATGTTCACAATATTCATATTTCTGTCATGCATTATGTCTGTTAGTGGTTTTTACATAGCGATGATCATTTCATGTTTCATTTGTTCTCTTCATGGCTCATTGTCCTGTTTCATTTCTTTCATTCTTTAATTTCATCTTTTGTTTGGTTTCAGTTGATTTTATTGGTGGATTTGAGCCATTCCCACTCTACCATGTCAATGAGAAACCATCTCATCTTCTGTTAAAGCCAGTGCATCAGTAAGTACCTGTGTGTGTGTGTGTGTGTGTGTGTGTGTGTGTGTGTGGGGGGGGAATGCAGTATATGTACCACATGTGCACAAAATCTGGCAAAACCTCCTATTGAGGACATTTAAAGATGTCATCAGTTTGAAAATTTTCATAAATAATGTAAAATATGTAAGGAATAATTGACAATGGGCTGTTGAATTATTAATTTTGTGGCGAAAACATGGAAATAATTAGTTGTTTTTATCCTGTTGTTTGCTTTATTTGTTGCTTTATTTGCTAGGTCAGTGTTGTTGTGGGTTTTGGCTATTTTGCTGTTTTAGGCTGTAAAGGACCTTTGAAAAAACTGAAATCATTTTGGCAAAGTGAAGTGAAATCAAGACCCTCCTGGAACTCCTTTAGCCGTGCATTTCCTTGAAGCTAATTGCACACCTCAGAACATTCGTCAGCCAATCAGATTCAAGCATTCAACAGCCCCCTAGTATAAAAGTATTATCAATTAAAATAATTATAGTAATTATTTTAATTTACAGCTGTAATAAAAACAATTTAGGCGTCTATTGTATGTCCCTATTTAAAAATAAAATGTGTGTGTGAATGTGAATCCAATCAAACACACTCTGTGTGTGCGAGTTAAGTAAAATAGATCCTCTTACACTTGTCCCTGCTTGCCCCTTATCTGAAGCATTAATTAAAGTTAGTTTTCTTTTAATTAGTGTAAGTTCTTAATTAGTCCATTCATTAAGCATTCTGATCTCGTCCAGTGAGGGATTAGTCAAACAGTGGGAAGCTCGATCGAACAGTAAAAGAGCTTTTATATCAGCTTGGACATTTTTGTATTGTGATTGTTAAATGTGGACTATTTGTTAAAGCTCTCTAGTTTAACATGGAAAAAGTGCCAGTGTGTTGATATGCTTCCAGTTCAGTTTCATTTTTAACATGAGATCTATGCCAGCACTTTTATTGTTTATGTACTGCAGAAGCTTTTTAAGGTCAGATCTCGTTTTAAAGGCTGGCAGCCGGAAGCGGCGCAAAGTTTGGCCAACTTTCCTCGCTTTTATCATTAGTTATGTGCCAACTAGACTATTAGCATCTTCTTGAGAATAATAGTCTGCCCTGCTTTCTGCGGCTGGATGAGCCAGACTGCTGAAAACTGAACGGGTTATTGACGTGTAAATGTGTCCGGCCATGTATTCATCGTGCTAGAAAAGTTTTGTTCAGAATAACTTATTTAGTTTCAATAACACATTAGTAGTCTGAGGAAGCTGTTTTCATTTGAGACTGCATGTTCTCTTATTGCACTGAACATTATTAAAGAAGATCAAAGACACGTATTATATTAAAACGATTTTTTAAAGCCTTAAACCAAACCAACTAGCTCTAAGATGGATCATAACATTACAACATTATAAACAGGAATGAATATTACTCATCCCATGAATCATTGTGAATCATAGAAGTCAGGGTTTCCCAAACAGGGCTTTATGAGTTGAAAAAAGCTAATAATTGCATTAATTAAGCACTGCATTAATGTGTGAATCTGGGAATGCAGTGTGCGCTGTATTTACATTCAAATTAATATTGCAATAGTAAATGACAGCATTTCATCAGTGTTGTATCAAAATAAAAGCTTGAGAATTTGACGTTAAAATCTCAAGGCTTTTAACGTTTGAAAGTGAAAAAAAATGTAATTGGATATTTTTAATTTTACTTTTGTAACTTGAAGTGTTAGTTGGCTCTTATAAAGACTGAACCCTGAACACTTGGAAAGTAACTGTTTCCATTAGCAGTCGAGTCTTTGTTCTTTGTGTCTGAATGTTTCAGCAGAAGGCATTTTTTATTAAATTAAATAGCAGGTTAACTGGCAATCGCAGTATATGACAGAATAATCACAATAAAATTTTTGGCCAAGTTGTATAGCCATATATGTAAATGCATAAAAATACATATTAAATAGATTTAAGATAGAAGCAATCAAAAGAAAACATTGTTTACTTGCATGCCATTTGATCATCAGCCGATATCAGAGATCTGTGAATATGCAATGTTAAATTATTGAAATATTAACTTTGACTAAAAGGGGGGAAAAAATACTTTGGGAAATGTGTAGGGAAAAATAAACACAAGGATGCTAGGGTGTCTGTGTAAACGTCTAGAGAAGAAAAATGAATAATATAAAACAAAATTATTTTGCATAATTACTGTTTCATTGTGCTTTCTAAAGAAAATGGAAATCATGAGATTAATCATAATTATTTAGTAATTTTTATTTTTTAATCTTTTTTTTTTATTTTTTTACTTCTATACATGGACAGCGATGTCAAACAATCAGCCATAAATGGAAAACAAAAACAAACAAATAAACAAAAAAGCCTTAAATAAATGTCAATAAATTTTTTTATACATAAATATATTAATTAATAAATAAAATATTGTGTTACGGTATTTTAAGATAGTTTTATCTTTCTCTTAAGCATTCTACATACAGCTCCACCAATCTGGGGAAATAAGTTTTTTTTATTTATTTTTTTTGCTGACTTCAGTGTCACAGCTCAGTCACTACTGAAGTCTTTGGGATTGTTTGTGTGTGTGTGTGTGTGTGTGTGTGTGTTCCTGTGGATTTATCAACCAGTCAATGTTGTCAGGATGTCATTTTCCTGTGGCTCCAGAGTGATTAGTCACATGACAGTTATGGCTCAGGTGATTGGCTGAAAGAAATTACCTCAGAGCCGTCGAGTGCCCTCAAGCAGAGACAGCAACACGCAGGTCACATGCTTCCAGGAGGCCATTTGAGCAACTGCCATTGATATTAATGTGAATGCTTGAGGTATTATAGACCTACTTGTGTTTTACTCCAGAGAAGTTAGTTCTGACAGAGTGACAGGCCTGTTCATCTCTTGTAGAGGGGAACTATAAATCCCTCTGTAAATGCTTTTATGACTGAAAGGGTCTTGATCTCCTACTACCTGCTGCTATATACCCTCGATCTTACAGTATGAGTTTTATCTTGGTTTTGATGTGGGGAATATGGATCAGTGGAGTGGTTCCTCTGAGAACGGTCCTGGCCTCATTTCAATAAGCCTTAAATTATGCAGGCTTTGTAATGAATGTGTGCAGAAGAAGCCTTTTCAATATGTGCACATGGAGGTGCTAAACACATTATATTTGCCCCAGGGACATTTTTCATGACAGTTTAATCAGACTAGTTGCAAATGAGCGAAGTACTTGTCCTGTCTCTAGATACACAACCGTTTCACCATCACAGGGAGTTTAATAAATCACCCAGCAGGTGTCTGTGTGTGTGCGTGTGTGTGTGCGTGTGTGTCTGTGTGTGTGTGTGTGTGTGTGTGTGTGTG